ACATTTTTAATAATATCTCAACATTGTTTGACTCTTTATCAAATCCAATGGTACGTATGGAAAGGTGAATAAATGAAGAAGCTATTTTTGATGAAAAAATTCCATGCTTTGTGCAATCCCTTAAAAAAAAGAGGTAAAGTGCGGGATGTGCTTAGTAGGACGGAAATTATATCAGAAACCCTACTATATTATTCTCTCAATACGCGAAATCTCTGATATATACGGTTAAAGTATTTGAGTTAACTTATTTCTTAGTGTTCAAGTACTTACATTTGTAAACAACAGTCAATGTTAATCTATGAACTAAATCCTACGTGTCTGAAAAATAGATCTTTCCTTATGTTGTATTGATGCATGTTTAAATTCTCGCGGCTGTCGTAATCAACGCGCCTACGGAGCTTAAATACGCAGAAGAAATTCGCAATTCGGTAGAGCTTACCAAAAGTTTTTTTTTTAGCTTATGTAGGTAGTTAAGAATTTGTTCGGTACGGTCGCGAAATTTTTAAATAATTGATACGTGTGGTAAAATAACTAAATTTAAACAAAGCTCAACAGTAAAATAAGTAGAATATCTAGGGAGGAAACCAAAATTAATCAACTTACCATAGACTATCACATTTATTTTTGTGGCACTCTTTAAATGATAATATGCATTTTTTTTTCTCGCTTCGGTTGTCTCGCACGGCTCTCGGAATTCGCGTGGATTTCGTAACTTACATAATTTAGATATTTCGTTCGAAACGGATTTACTTATTCAATCGGTTTACTACGCGGATGTATCTACGCGTTCACGTCGCAGCATTTTTTCCAGAACTATCTTGAAACAATACATACGGAATCCAGTGTTCTGATTCAAAGCAGAGAAATTTCAAACTATTTCCAGCTTACACATTCCATATCATTTTGTAGCATCGTGGCCATCTCAATACAAAAAATATCCAACCACCTACCTCAATCTAATCATTATCCCTTCCCATGGCGATCATGTAGCCTGCATGTGGCGAGTCGGCACATTACTCCTCCTTTACTATCGGCCTTGGATTGACTTGCACTCTTACTGCCCCACCCTGCGTTGCAAAATGAAAATGCAAATTAAATCATGAGTTTCAAATCAAAATAAATCTTAAAACCTCAATGGATTTGAGTAAAAAAACTACATTTTGCCTTTGAATTTGGATTACTTACTTATTGAGTCTTCGATATCTTTTCGAAAAAATGGGGAGTTCTGGTTCACATATTTGGATCGTCAATTGATATATCTACAAACATATATTGAACTCCATACAAATTGCTAAAAATGATCAGAAGGGTGAGGTCAATAAACGCTTCCGATTTCAAAAAAAGATGGTAGGAAGGATTCAAAGCGAGAAATTGACATATTTCTTAAAACTTATCAGCGCTGGCTTGATGATTCTATTAGTTTTCACAATTTCGGTTTTTCTCCTAAAAACCTGCCGGTAGACCAGTGAAACGTTTCGAGGAATGCTCTGAAAGAACTAAACAGCTCAAAACCTAGCAGTGTGCAGCGAATCGAAAGTGAACGCAAAAGAAAAGCTGCAAAAACGTACGAAAGGGCCACCCACATTAGATCCGTTTGCGTTGCGTTGACGTAAAATTGACAGTTAGACAATAGATTTAGCTGTTACTATGCCGCAACGCGTACGATCCGGATCTAATGTGCGTGGACCTGAATAGCGTTGACTTGCCGTGTTGGTTTGAGCGCTTCCGTAAGCCGCCATGTATTTAAAACGCGGCGAATATTCCGCCGCAAATTATTCGCTTCCGCCGCGTTAAAAATACGCCAGTTTGGGGGGGGGGGGGACCTAAAAGCGTCGATGGTGGAAGTGAACATACGCTTAATAAAATGTGCTCCGCCAATGATTTGTTTATCTGTTAATAATAGATTAGTTCTACGGAAGTTAGGCATAAACTCTCTTGCAACTAGGCTTGTTTTCAAATACATATTCTGCAACTCTAAACATGGCTCGGGAAACTCAGCTTGCATCAAGTTTGTCAGAGCCTTATCAAGGTCCGTCAGCTTTGTTTCAAAATTGGGAGATAGGGCTGAATGTTTTGGTAATGGGTCATTTGACCGAATACAACTAGACCATTAATCTAATCTAATCTAACACCAACACAGCCAGTTCTTGAATGCATTCTGGAAAATGATGGATATAACTTCATCATTTTTCTTGTCTATTTGATATATGTTTCACATCGAAGATGCGTCACACATATCAAAACGGCCAGGCCTACAGGCATTTAAGGGGAAAGATGATTCAGAAAACATCGGGCCTGTTTAAATCGAAGATTTAAACACGATGCTTCAGAATCCAACAAATGGATGAAACGTGGACATCTCCTACCGCACGTTCTGATTTTGGCAATTATATGATTGGTTGGTTGTTGGAAGCATCAAAGCTAGAAAGGGTAAGTGATGCTCCATTTTCTTCTGACGGCTGGGACATTAGCACTAACGCTTGTCCTAGCCTTTTATGACTTATGGCTATAGCGCCATTACTCGCTTTCTGAAAAGAGAAGAGGGAAAGGAAAAGGAGAAGGACAAAGGGAAAAGGATTATGTAAACTCTATGAACATAAACAGTATTTTCTATTTGAAATATACAATATAGAAATGCATAACGGCGTGGTGGTCACTACCCGAGTCTTGTCACTATTATCAAGTCATAAAAAGTAACAAGCACTAAAATGTGATCCGTTGATTACTGGGAAATCCTGATTCCCTAGTTTGAAGTTGTCACGACTAGGGTTCGGTGGTAGATCTTATACCAGTAACGCACCACAAAAAGGTGATCTCCCAACGTTACTGGGAGATTTACTAAATGGAACGAACTCACCAAGTTTAGCCAATTGAAGGCTGCCTGACATGTTTTGATGTAGAAGTCCAAATTGTAGACGAAGCTTGACGAAGATCAATATGAACTAGTCCGGTTTATGGTAGTTGCGCGGAATGGTTTCCTTCGATTTGAGATAAACAAATGTTCGGATGTACATTGGTATGTAGTCGATTTTTAATGTGCATTGGCAAGCCTTTTCGTGGCCAATAGTCAGGTTCAACGCAGCGACTCAACGAATGATGGGACGCCTCGTGGAGGTTCTACTTGGCTTCGGAACAGTTTCTCGGTGGTAAATAATAGGGACTGAGCAACTAGAAATTGTCTCCTGGGCCTGATTTTGGCCAGATCAGCAACCGGTTAAAGATAAAAAAAATTCCACGGAAAAAAAAAACAAACATCCCCGAATACAACTAGACCATTACTTACACTAACTATTTGCTATTAGACTGAAATAGTAGATATTTTTTTCCTTATGAGAATAATTTATTCACGATCCTTAAAATTTTTGCTACGTTAGAAGAAAATTCATTGACATTATCAATTTTTAATGCAATTACTTTTGAGCTGATGTTCATAAAACTCAAAAGGAACCTCAATTCTCAATAGTTTCCCAAAGTCAGGAAAGTACATGTACAAATTTTCGTGTTTATTATCCATCCGATCGATCGTCTCAGTGATGGCCAAAGTGCGGCTCGCGGGCCGCACATAGTGCTTGCATCTCTATGATGCAACAACCACAGCATGAATTTCTTTTGATTTACGAATGTATGGCCGAAATTATACATCTCGGAACCAAATCCCAGTTTGCAACACGCCGTACCTTGAGTCAAATCAAGTTTTCACCATTTTGGGAAATATTGAAAATTAAGTGTTTTCCCAAGAACTTTGGCGAAATAACGCGTACGAAATTTTGTCCAAACTATTTCTGCCTACCGCAACAGATGTGCATATAGTGAAAATTAAGCAAAATCTTCATTCCCTGCTTTGGCTCCGGTTCAATCCTTGAATATGAGTTTTTCGAAGGTTAAACTGTTTGCCAATAGTGCTGTAGTGCCGGTAAGATAGTTTGATATCACCCTATTCTTCGTGATTCAGCCAGTTTTCAATCTCGGATTCATGTTAGCAAAAATTCAAACCAACCCATTTTCTCTATCCGAATCCAAGAAAGCCTTTTTGTTGAGCTCTCTCTCTCTCTCTCTCTAAATACATTTTGCCCGGTGACGCCACAATTCTGCGTCCTCGCATGTGGGTCGGTCGGTCGGTTTGGCACGTGGCGGCTGCCAAGTGGCCACTACGTACAATCACTGCTAGCTAGCGGTACGCTCCTGGCAAATGTTCGCACGCACGCATATGCTGTGCCGCCGCCCATAGAGGACCCTGAAGCGTGAAGCACGAAGGATCACGATGAATTCATTTCCCCTTGGAGCTCCTCTGCTGGTGTTCCGTGTAAACTATAACGCTAGAGCTAGATATCCGTGCTGGCTGTAGGGCGACAGCAGAGTGTATAGTTGGCGACAGCGCGGCCTCATCCACGCTTGAGAGTGCTTATGCCGATGAGATGGTTTAAAATGCAAATCAAATCACTCATAATAATGCTATCAATTTCAAAATAACACCTCGACGGTAGGCACGGCGACGATGACGAAGAGTCCCTAGAGTATACAAATCAACAACATGTATATACCTAGGAGTGGCTGTGGATTGTGGGATGTGGAACCATGTGGAGAGCCAGAATAATTGTCATCAATCATAGCTAATTATAGCGTCGTTGTATGTTGCTATGCTCTGGTTGCCGGTGGCGGTGTGGAGAGTTGTCGCGCTTACCGAAGGGGCACTTTTCAATAAATCTCCTAGCCGAAGCCGATTTACGATATTTATGTTCCTAGGTATATTTGTTCATATACAGAGGTGTTGATATGGTTTGGCACCGGGCAGTGCCAACAACGCTCATGATAGGTGTGTATTGTGAGGAGTTTCTAATTGGGAAGATTTATTTCAGTCGTTCATTTTCGCGTGTGGTTTGGACAATTTTGTGTAATTAACGCTTCATCGAGCGTAGCGACAGATGATGTTTCTATTTGTAGAAGATGAAGATTTATTTGCATGATTAATAAATGAGAATTTCTTTGTTCCTATTTTTCAGGTGAGTCATCATTCTTCTAAACCGATGGAAGATCATATTTCAAATATTTCTACGACAGGTAAGTCACCGGGCGTGAAATGTAAACCATAAAAATCCCATTATCTCTCGCACAAGTACCCATTAAAACCAAACACATTTGAATTCGATGACGGGATAATAAATTTCCACAGCTGAGTGTCCGATGTGATGGACTGCCAAGTGTCGCAACGACTGCAGTTATGTTGGTTTTGTCACAGTTGCAATTGGATTATTCCAATCGACCACTAGCTGGTTGGGGCGAAATTTAATTAAAATACAAATTGCATTTATTTGCGCTTTCATTGGGGTGAGGTGTAAAGCGATCTAAATTATTGGTGGATTGATGTTGTTTTGTCCATCTGCTTTAATTTGTGTGGTGTTTTGTTTTGAGCTATTGATTTTTTGAGCTTTGTAGAGTTACTTTAATTATTGAATTATTTACTCGGATTTTTAAGGTTCAAGGCCATTTTAAAGTTGAGAGTATTGTTTAAACGCATTTTTTTGCAGCCCTAAAGTTTTCAAAATGAATTTTAAGCTATTCGCCATTGTAGATTTATGTAGCAACACGCTTATCAAAACATTCTTGATAATGATCCAAAGCGCCCAAGGAGTGCTACACATTTTCTAAGTCTTAAATATAACTAGTATGAAACTTTCCCCATGATTTTTGGAATGTTCTCAAGAGTTTCTTTCATCGCAGAAATACCAGAGTTCTGTCCAAAATTATAAAATAATCTTGTGATTCTATCAGAAATTTCCTTGAATTGCTTTCAGTTTTCTGTAAAATATTCGACACAAAAAGCGCTTGTAATGCATTCTTCAATTCTCCTGGAATTGTCTTTAATTGTTCACAGAATTCACTTACAATTCTTTTCAACATTCTGTTTTAATGCGTCTTTAAATTGTTGCTCCGAATTTTCTAGTTAATTACTCTAGCCCATCTCTACAGATTCCTCAGAATAACCTTGAAGTTCTGCTCAGAAATCACATATAAATTCCGTTCAAATTTACTCAGAATGCTCCCAGAATTTATTTGGATTTCTATTCAGAATTCCTTCGGGTTCTACGGAATCCCGTTGAAGCATTCCTAAGCATCCATTTGCAGTTCCAACTCGATTTAATCACGGAATTACTTTGAAACTTTTAGCTGAATTCCGAATTTTCAGTGAAATTATGTTTAAATTTTCTTTCGTTTATCTTAAAAATTATCACAAACAAATCTCCATATGGGATTTATTGTCTTTAGGATTTGCCTAGGATGCTCATTAAAATCCCCGTGGGTGCCTTATATAAGTACCGTGATGATTCAGCCATGTACTGCCGCATTTCACAAGTCGGTCCCATTTACGTTTTTGTCACAACTGAGTTTTTCAATAGATGTTGTATTGAATTAATGAAATTGGGTTGTTAGCGGAATGTTCCTTTAATTTACATAAATCTTTGGTTTTTATTAGTTAGGTAGGTTCCGATTCAACACATTGTAGTTTCATTTTTATACCTATGATCTTGACTTTTTTACCTAAGGGATGAGTACTTAAGAGGGTTAGATGACAAATACGTATTTCGACTACAATGTGCAGTCTTCATCAGTGTCATTCCCACTAAAGAACTTTAGTGGAATTAAATGAAAGATAACCCTTTTTTTTCTGTTTTATTTTATTGGATGTTGTAGGCCATATTTTCATAATATTGAAACAAATAAACAACATTGTTCTAGAAATGTTTGGAAAAATAGCCAAACTGAACAACTGTCACTCTAAAAATAATGGATCAAATCAAATTTAAAATGTGCTTTGCTTGGCTTGCTGTTGTGTGCCAACAGCGGCAGTTTACTGAATGAAAATTGAGGGTTCAATTCCCGTTGGTTGGCGGATCTTCTGTTTTCGCTAACGATTGTCGTACAGACGTTTATGTTATGTTCATCATTGAAAGTCTTCTTACAACTAGCTTTGCATTCTAAGCAGAAGCTCCTTGGTATTATTCTCGGAATTTCTCAAGAATTATTGCAATGTCTCAACGCCTGCTTGGAATTCTCTTCTAAATTCTAATTAAAAGTCTTTAACAGCCTGAATACTGAATAATTTCCCACAGCCTTGCAAATTATCCAATAAATCTTGACTCTTGAAAATTTGTTAAATTCCGGAATTTTCAATATTTTGGTAAGTCTCAAAGTTCTGGATGTTTTTCCAAGTACAATTTTTAAAAAAAAATCACAAAATTCCAAGTCGCATAATTTGAAGTACGCCTCAGAATGCCTAAGAGATTTTTCTCAGTACAAAATAAAAAAAATCTTATTTCGAGACCTCCTATATTGAATGTGCAGGATGAAATTTGTCTTATTCGGACATGTTCCGGGTACCTCTGGGGAACTGACCAGTTTCTGACTAGGACCAAAACCTATCATGCGACACCTCAGATCTCATGAGAATGAAAAAACAAGTGATTATATCAAGAGCCCAAGGTCACTTTGGACATATCCTGACATGTTCTGGGTACACCTTGGGTAGTTTCCAGTTCAGTTCAAGGGACACTTAATCAATATGTAAGAAGGATCAAATCTCAGCATAGGTGGATACATTCAGGTTTTATATATTGTTATAGGAAATGGGAAATTCAAAGGAAAGACATTCTGGGCATGCTAGGAGGCTTCTTAAGCATTAATTGTTAGTTGTTGCAAAAGCTAAAATTATGCTAAAAGAAGCGGTCGCATCGAGCGTTGCTTTGTTTAACAAGTGTCTCCTTGGGAAGCTTTTTAGCAATCGAATACTAAATTTACAACAACTCTTGTTTGCTTGTTTGTGGTTAAATGTTTGGTGCTTTCTACCATGACAAGTCACGCTTACCGCTACACCACCGGCGCCGCTATTTCTGGAATTATGTAAAGTTTCCAAAATATGTATGAAGTTTTCTAAATTTCTCTGAAGTTCTCTGGACTTCCCTGATATTCCAAAAAACTTCTTAAATTATATCGAAATTTTCCTGGAACTCATAGAGCTGTCCTGAATTTATCGAAACTAACCTTTACAGATCAGATCTCTAAACTACCGCAAAATCCTAGAGTTTTCTGCAATTATTTTGACTGCCCTTAAAATCTCTGTTCTTTTCTGAGGCTCTTGAAATTTCTAAAAAGTATCCACAGTTTTTGCCAAGATGATTGGACTTCTCTGAAGTTTTCTTGACTTCCCTGAAGTTCTTAGAACTTCTTAAAAGTTCCTGTAGTTTCATTGAAACAGATGAAACTACTTTAAAGCGCTCGAAGCTTCCATGCAGTTGTCGAAATTTTATAGAAGTTCTCAGATCTTACCTTATTATTCCGCAGTTTGTTCATGAAACTTCCCTGAAATCCTCGGAGTTTCCTTTCATTCCTCGGAATTTTTTTAAAGAACGTATGAACCACCCTGAAGTACTCTTCTCTTTCCTTCTGGTTCTTGGAGCTTCCCTGAAGTTCTTGTTATTTCTTAGGATGTTTCTGGAATTGCAATGAAATTAATGAAACTAAACCCTGAAGATCTCTTAACTTCTCCACGTTTTTTGAACTTCATTGAATTTATCAGAGTTTCTTATCAGTTTCTAAACTAAATTTTTCTTAAGTGCTCTGAACTTCCCTGATGTTCTCTGAAATAACTTTAATTTTTTGAACTTATATTTATTTTTCTAAATTTAATTGTTGAAACTTATCTATAGCTATATCTATATCTATATAATCCCTGAACTTTCCGCAATATATATGACATTCATGGAACTGCTTTGAAGTTCTCAGAACAGTCCCAAAGTACGTAACTTCACTTTAGATATTCAAGCTAAACTGCATATTTGTCAACTTATCTAAAGTTCCTGGAATTTTTCTAAATTTAATTGAATAGTTTTTAAATTCTCATTTTTTTCCTTGACTTGGTTTTCCGTCGATCTTGTTTTCCGTGCTTGTCACCAACGGTTTTACTTCCCTTGATCCCGTGATCAGAGATGTTATGCCTCAGAGAGAGAGAGAGAGAGAGAGGAAAATCTTTTTTTAGCTAGTACGTTCATTTACTAGGCTCAGTCGTATGTGACACTTTGCGGATCCAAAAATCAGTAATGTTTGAATTTACTTTTTTTAACAGCAGTAGTTCTAGGATAGTATTGGGTACGAATTACTCATGGCGGGCTCGAGCTTAATGAGTAACAATTTCGATTGGAAGTAGCTAGGTAGGAAACTGGTTTCTGAAGCCTCCAGATACTACTCTCGGACGGTTGACCAAACCCTGGCTGGGCAGGGGTCAGTAGCACAGAAACAGGAGGATAATATGACTGGGACACAATGGCTGGAAATTGTATGGAAAGGGGAGGATGGTCACATCAAACTCTAACATCATACAAACAAAGGAATTGGTAGATCGCCGGCATGTAGGGAAGATCACGGGTTCCCAATACATCTCTTAATTCACGGAAGGGTTGTCTACCTCGAGCAACTAGGGTATCCAATAGGCGTGCTCTGGAGGCGTCATTACCCGGGTAATACCAAACTGCGTGAAATATGTCATCATAACCGGTTCTGCACGTACATATATTGCTGTCAACGAGGTTTATTCTGTAGAGATGTGCGTCTAGTGAGTAGTTAGTGGTTGGACATAAGTCTTGACATCACGTGAATGAAGCCCCGACTTACATCCAGATCTTTGAACCACGCTGTCGAAGAAACATTTGGAATGATGGAATCGAACCACCGCCCAAGAGAATTACTTATCCAATCGTTTTGCCAACTTAAAAGAGAACTCTGACATACTTATGGGAAAAATTCATCATGTGAAATTCTTCTATCATAAATATCGCCCACCTTTGCGAGAGATTCTGGGATTGAGTAATGTGAGAAGACCCATACAAAGGAAATCATATATGATCTTTCGACCACCAAACTCATCTGCTCCCTTACATTTGAAAGGAAATAAGATGAGTGCCTACCTGGTTTCATCGACCGAATAGAAAGGAAATTCTTATTACAGTAAACTCTTTCTAAATAGACATTTGCAATCAACGAGTTAGGAATAAATTTCGAGTTACAGT